CACAGGATCCACACGAGCAGCAGGGTCCCCGCCAGCTCCCAGCGCATGCCGCCCACGTCCTCCACGCCTTCCGAGATCTGCAGCGCGCGCCTCCTGCGGGGAACACCGAACAGCGGGTCAGAGGCCGTTCAGAAGCCACGTAGACTTTAGAGGGCGTCCCCAAATATTATGGGGTCCCATAAGGTTCAGGACAGTTTGGTGGCGACCATCGGGACCCCTTGCTTATTTTTACCTCAGGGTGTAAATATCTTGGGGACCCTACGAACACCAATGACAGTCATGAACCTTTGGGGACCCCATAATATTATTTGGATCCCGACCCCCGAAAGTCACGTAGTTTGTGCACGATCTTAAGAGGAGGCGCACCGGTACGGACAACGCCACGGGCACCGCGTTATGGACACCTACTCCCAGAACTCCTTGACGGGATCGCTCAGCTCCTTGAGCGACACGTTGTACTGGTTCACGTTGCACACCCTGGTGCTCGTCTGGTTGACGAAGGCCGTCCAGCAGGTCAGGTTCTTCCTGGCGTACGGGTTCACGCACTTGTACGTGTTCCAGTAGTTGTTGCAGGTTCTCCACGGCACATCTGCGGGCGGAAGGCGATTTTTTTTAAAGCGGTTCTTGTCATCGATGTGTAATCCATATACGGCCACACTTTCCAGCGCAAGTATACACATTGCACTTACCGGCTCGCATCGACATGAAGAAATAGAAGATGGCCCAGGCCAGGATGACAATGTAGTATACGTTCATCCAGCAGGACATGACGGCCGCCGCGTAGCCGATGCCTGTCGGTTGTTATTAAATTTAGTTGATGGAGTATTTCAAAAAGAGAAAAATAGTTGTCTCGGTGGAAAAACACCATCATTTCATGTAATTACCCTTAAAGATAGGCGCGATCTTAAACACGCCCAACCCTCCGATGGTAAGCATCTGGCCCAGGGCGAGCTCCATGAAGAACATGGGGATGCCAGCCAGAAAAAGGGTCAGGAAGTAGGGGATGAGGAAGGCGCCGCCTCCGTTCTTGTAGCAGAGGTAGGGGAAACGCCACACGTTGCCCAGCCCGATGGCCAGACCCACGACGGACAGGATGAAGTCCAGCTTGCTGGACCAGGACCCCCTCTCGGGCAGGTCCTTGCTGTCCTTGGACGCGACCGCGCCACCGCCATCGCCGCCCCCGCTCGTCGACGCCACCACCTGGGGGGCAGGCAAATTTTCCATGACGTGTGTCGTGAAATTACAATTCGAAATTGTAAGCTTACAAGCACTTCGTATTGACTTGGAATTGATCGCCAAGCAAGAATGGGCCGACGTAAATTTACAAATACAAATTTACAAATTTTGTAAATGAAAATGACAACAAATACTGGAAATTTACGGGGGCATTTTTCAGTGTATTCACTGCAATTTTTTTTACGAAGCACAAATGCAAAGCCACACTTACCACTCCACACTGGTTCATCTCCAGTGACAGGAGGGCCTTGTCCGTGTTGAGGTTGGCTGTGTCCACCATCTTGTCCCCGTGTTTCTTTCAGCCAATCACAGCATCACCTGCAACAACATCGCGTGATAAGCAAACATTTTCATAAAACAGTTTTCCCTTCCGTAAACATTGCCATTCCTCGCGGTCTGCGGCCCGGCGGTGCGCAGCTGCCTTGGGGGCGCCTGGGGGGTAGGCCACCGCCCACCTGCGAGCGCACCGGTGTAGCGCGGGTCTGCCCACCCTGTCTTCCACAGGCGCTCCCCGCTACCCACCGCAGCATGAACACACGGGCAAAGCTCCCACTCGGCGGCGAGGTCCGGGCCGGAGAGGGTTGGAGGTATTAGAGAGCGGAGAGCACTCCAGCCTCTCTCGCACAAAGCTTGGAATCTTATTGAGCTGACCATACGCTACGCAGAGATGTTTTATTATTTGCACACAAAAGATAAAAGGAAGAATAACCAGCGCGCCCGGTCTAGTAGTAACAAAATTACCGGGCCTCTCTGTAATTATACGAAATTCAAACATGAATAGGAAAACGGAGCGCGAAAAGAGAAACGCCGCGCCGCGGCGCCCGGCTCCCAGAGGGAAGCTGCACGGTGATCCGTGAACTCCTGTGATTATTGCTCTCCTCGGCTCTCCCCCACCCCAGCGCCCTCCCCAATCACTCCCCTTCAATTCAATCCACCCGCCGCTCTCCCCTCAACCCGCCACCACTCCCCCCTGATCCACCAGCCCACCACCACCGACGCCCCTTTACGCGGAATCTCAATATGAGAAAGGAGGGAGAGGGAAATTTATCTCGAGCGAAGCGTGGCCCGGCCCGGCCAGGCCCGGGGACGTGTCTGAGTGGCACTGAGGAGGGCGCTGCTGGCTGCGCCGGCTTCCACCGCCTTCCAATAAGAGCTATTGTTTCCGCTCGCTTCGCTCTGGCGGCTGGTGGCGGGGCGTGCGGCGAGCGGGGCGGCTGGAGATGGAGGCTGGAGCTGGTGGCTGGAGGCTCGGGTAGTGCGGGGTGAGGCGGCGCTGACAAAACACACTCCAAGCCTATTGGGGCCCGCCCCGCCATGCCCCGCCACGCCACTCCAGCCAGCCTACCCTTCCACCCCTCCACACCTTCAACACCCGGGCTCACCACCACACTGCTTGTGCTCTCCAACAACCACACCCTTGGTCACCACCACCACCACACACCCTTAGCATTGGCTCTCCACCCCGCATACCAGCCTCAGCTCTCCGCCACACCAAGTGGATCACCCTCCTCATCCACACCTTGGCCCCCTTCTCCCGGACACGACGGGCCCGCGCTGCGTTGCCGCGTCTCCTGCTTGAGCAGGTCAGGGGCGGGCGGCAGCCGGGGTCAGCCGAGGGGTCAGCCCGACCGGTCCAGCTCTGCAGAGAGCGACGTTGCCGAGATGCCGGTTCCTGATGGCCTCACTTCCGGGGCATTAATTCAATCCACGCGCGCCGCTGGAGGGAGCAGCGGCGGCAGCGTCAGCAGCGGCAGCAGGACCAGCAATGGAACGGCACTCGACAAGGGGAGGGGATAACTCATTCACTCAACAATTACTTTTGTACAAACAGTTGGTTCGGGTATAGGTTTGAGCTCACAAAAACAAACACAAGATATCGCTTCACTGATTTTTACAGAACACATTTTTGACCTCATAACGGCAGACTATTATGACGCGTCAGCCAGGGTGCCTCAACTGTCTTTCAGAGCACAACAGATTGCCAAAGTTCTAGAGGAACCTGTGTACTTTTAGATGTATAGCGCCTGTAACAAGGCAAAACGCACTTACTTTCACCCTTTATGGAGGCAAAAAGCATTGCTTTTTGATCCGCTTATCGAGATATATCCGAAGATTATCAACAAGGTGGTGTAGAGCAGGTTGCCAGAGTTCGAGGGCCCCTTGCCATTGGATTTGAGTTAAATTTTACGCGATATCTATATGTCTATGTCCTTGTACAAAATAATTTTGTCACTTAGGTTTCAGAGTAGAGATCAAGGTACAAATCCAGCTGGAGGACTAATGGTTAACCTCACTGTCACACAACAACACCACTAACCCCTAAAAAAAGGGCTCACTCGTTTCCGGTAAATTATCCAATAATCTCCATGGTTTCCGGGAACAGGACTGACACAGACCACACACGAGGCCGGCGGGTGGTTTGGGTCGGGGTCACACACGGGTACTTCCGGGCACACAGCAGCAGTATATCCGGATGCGTGGGGCGGAAGCACTTCACAACTATGGTTCACATCGTGTGTTCAGCAGCAGCCGACACCACCACCGAGGGGCACACCCACCGTGCACAGGCGCGGGCTCGTCCGGCGACACTGCTGCGTCCTCCATGGCAGGTCGCGCCTCCACTGCGGACGGCTGGGCGGGCCGCGTGTCCAGGGCGGCCCCCCACCACGACCCCACCCCGCCCCGCCCCACCTCACCGCTATTGCACTGACTGACTGCACCCGGCGGGGACCAGAGCTTATGGCTCCATCAGGAGGGGGACAAACGTACTGCGAGAGGTGGGGGTCGTGGGGGGAGGAGGGCAGCGAGAGAAAAGTAACGGGCGGACGCACATATCCGGATTGCGTTAGCGTCCAACACCAGCGGCGCGGCGCGGCTTTCAGCAGGAAGCCCATATCGTGTGAGACCATTCGGCGGGGAGCGACGCGCGACACCGGGCGGGGGCGGCGCGAGGTCTCACACCTCTACAGTGCAACCAACTTGGTAAAAAAATGTCAAAACAAAAACCGTCAAATTTTAAATGTTTTTGAATTTTTTCGGTTCTCAAGAAGAGTTTCGAGAAATATGCGCGTAATACTGGCGTGCACACATGCAAGTGCTCAACACTATGTTGCACACTGTTAGGTGTTTGACTTTAAATTTGAAAACTTTATGTATCAGTGTGATTCCTCTATGCGCCGGTGTGTGACGTTGCGTTGGGGACGTTGGCACAGCCTTTTCCCGCCCTGCTCGCCCTGACTGCGCGGAGCAGCACCCCGGCACCCAGAGCGCACACGAGTAGTTATGGGTGCTCCTGAATGTGCCGGGCTTTGTGACACGAGTGTGTGTGTGTGTGCGCGCGCGCGGTGGTTTGTCATTCTGTACAACGGCCGCAGACTACTAACCCCTCCCCCCTTCTCCCTTTCCGCCCATCATCTCTCCCCTGTGATGTGAAATGGAAGTGCGAGCCGTCCGGAGAGGGGAGGGGAGAGGAAAGGGGGAGGGAGAGGGGGGAATGGTGGATGGTGGTGATGGATCGAGTCTACACTGCTGGTGGAACAAGAAGTCATCCCTGCAAGGTTTCGACCCAAATTAAGACCATAACTCTCCATTCCTTTCACGCGCGACTCCCCCCCCCCACTTCCCCTCTCTCGCTCTCACGAGTTCGATCTCATTAGCAAGCCACTTGGCGGGCACATCGGCTGCTAATAGCTTAACCCACGACTTCCCCGATTTCCCTCTTTTTTTGCACCCCCACTCCACCCCCTTTCCCTCCATTTCCGCTGCTGCTTTCCCTCATTTTCATCCGACCCTGCTGCGATGATCAGTAACGAAACATCAGCAGCAGCCTGCCTGCATTCCGCCGGGCTGGAGCAGCAGCGGGGCGCGCCGGAGTCCTGGCGTGGCGCGGCGGGGCGGGGCGAGGCGGGGCGGGCGGGGCGGGGCGCTGCAGCTGACATGATGACATATCGCGCAGACCTACAACAGAGCACGTACGGGAGGGGGGTGATGGCTGAGAGGCGGCGCGCGGACCGTTTTAAAAATCATGACCGAGATGCGCGCGGACATTATTTTAACGCGACCGCGCGTCGGACGACGGAACGAGTGGCGGGGACGCAGTTTAAAATGGAATCCCAGTTTGGGCGCGAAAAAGAACCCCTGCTGTTTAGAAGGACGGAAGGACGCTGCCAAGTATGACGATTTTAAAGTGGTCCTGTTGGGAAAGGCAAGAGTACTTGTGCGACCTCGACAGCGCTGAATATAAATTTCGGTAAATATACCGTGCGACACTGAAGCCCATAACACTGCTTAAAGGTCACATGTGAAAGCGACCTGTCGTGTGGTTATTTTTATTCAGTGACGTGTGTAAACCAAAACCGCATGTACCGGGTGTAACTGTAAATACGCAGCAGTGTTGCGGGTTTGCCTACTATTTACACCTGTAAGGGGCCATGTTGAGTATGCAATCCCGCGCAACACTGTTGCGTATTCGCAGTTCTACACCAAGTATTTCTCGCATTTCATGCGTGAGGCCCTTACGAAACACTCGTCTCGGGCGCGCATGGTGCTCGTGAAGAGCTTCACTTTACGAACCGGAGAACGTTAAAGCATAGGCGCTCCGCACGATATTTACGAACCGGAGAACGTTAAAGCATAGGCGCTCCGCACGATAAGCAGCAGCAGCGTCATGTAATGGGAATGGGGAAGAAGAAGGAGAAGAAGAAGAAGAGGGGAGGGGGGAATTAGGGGCAGCAGTAGGCGATAACGCGACTCGCGCTGGAAAACGATTCTCGGCGCCCCGCCGCTGTCTCCGATGTCCACCCCCTCCCTCTGGTCCCCTCTGTCGGTCCCGACATTACTAAATGATGCCGCGAGCGAAGCCCCCACGCCGCGCCGGGCCACGACAGGCGCCCGTCAGGCTGCCCCGGTTGGCCGTACGCTCGTCCATCCGCACATCTGTCTGCCTGTCTATCTACCCGACAGCCCGTCAGACTTTCCAGAGAAATAAAAACACCCACACAAAAAAACGTGCCACGGGAGCAAGAAGAGGGGAAGGGGGTGGAGGTGGTGTGTTGCGCGGTGTGGCCCGTCTCGCTAAATTACTACCACACTGGGGATGCGGGTGGCGCAGAGTGGTGGGGTGGGTGGTTGCGGAGAGCAGCGGGGGGAGAGGCGGGGATCGGCGCCCCCGGACGCCACAACACCGAGCCATAAACCCGTGGTTCGATAGAC